CAGGCGCAAAGCCGCCCAGATGGACGGGAGCCTGATGACCAGGGAAGGGGCCCGGGGGGGGCCCCCCGGGGGGGGGGGGGGGGGGGGGGCCCCCCCCCCCCCCCCCCCGGGTTTTCTCTGACACATTATCACAGCTTAAGCAGGGACTGAAAACTATGGAAAATGGCCTTTAGACGATTGGCTTGTTGACAAAAGTGCAAATCCACCCTCACTCTGCTTATATCTGTAAATATGCAAATCTAATAAAATAATGGATTGGGGGGATAACGGATCAATCGGCTGCAAAGGAGGCAGATTGGAGAGGCCTCGTGTGGCATCCGGGTGAAGGGAGATGCCAGCCCAGTTTCAGCTCCCGGGGGGAGGAGGGAATGTTGCCTCAGCTGTGTACCCTCAGCCAACCTCCCTCACACTCTGGTTGTGGGGAATGCCAGGAGGATGGGGAACTTTTTCCTGCCTTAAACTCCTGGACCAAAGATGGAATAAAAATCTTAACAAATGAATGAGAAGCGTCCTGGCCTTTCCTTCCCTGCTGGCTTGTGAGTTCCGTCTCAGCTTCCCACGTTCTGCCACTGGCAGGCCATTCCCCCCTCATTTTAGCCTCTTGGGGGAAGAACAAGGCTGCCCTTATACGTTGCTGCTTGAAGAGCCGGGAGCCCAAATGCAGAGCCGCCTCGGGGACTGCAGCGCCTAGAACTCCAGCATCCTGGAGAAGCTGCTTTACTCCCCCGGAGGCACCTCTTCTCATCCATGGCCACCGTTGATCCCTGAGGAACATCGTCTCTGGACGGCTGTAATCCTTTTCTCTCCAAACTGTGGCCCTCCCTATTAACACATCCCGTCATCTCACCCACAGCCTGACCCTAGGTAGTCCAAGGCGTGGCTGCGGAGGGCCCTGCTGAGCAAGAGGTTGGCCAGCACCCAGAGAACAGGACCTCCCACTCCCTTCTGCCCGATGGGAGGCCTGGATTCTGGCCCTGGGCCCCCTGCCTTGGCTTCAGGAAATGGGGAGGACTTCAGTGGCTGAAAGGGGAGGGGGGGCAGGGGGCCTTGGCTGCTGGTGGGCAACTGGGCAGGGCCACTGGCACGCATGCCGTCTCTGGACCATCCCTACCCCCACCCCCGCCCCAACTCCAACCCCCACCCCAAGGCAGAACATTCCTCAGCAGCAGCAGCAAGATTTCCTGGGTAGCCGTCACGCCAGGGGTGGGATTCAAAATTTTTTACTGCCAGTTCTGTGGGAGTGGCAGGGGAAGGATACTGCAAAATCCCCCCCTCCTCCCCAGTAACCTGCTTTCCAGCTCCATTCTCCTATGCAGGGCAACCAAGAAGACCCAGCTGATCAGCTGGGACTCGATGGGAGGCAGAGAAGAGATGGGACTGGCCAGTTCTCTGAACAACTCCAAATTTCTGCTACTGGTTCTCCAGAACCGGCCAGAACTGGCTGAATGCCTCCTCTGCGCCACATGTACCTGAGCCTGGGCGGGGCATGTAAAAAGAGGCGAGGCTTTGACTGGATGGCTGCGGCCGCTATCTTGACTCTTTGACCTCTCTGCCTCCTGGACAGCCTCCGCAGGAAGGCTGGGGTGTGAATGGGGGCCCACTGCTGGATGTACCCTCCAGAGCCATTATCCCCCCAGCCTTGATTCAAGTCTCGGCCCACGGCTCTGCCATTTGGGAACCGGAAGCCCTTGTCGAGAAAGTGGCTTCTCCGTGGGCACCTGAGCACAAAAGAAACGTGCAGGCAGTGAATCTTTCGCGGCTGCGTTGGGATCGTTTTATAATGAAAAGCAGGTAAGACAGTCGACAAATAATTCTACACACACGTTTTTCACACCAAGCTCTCTGGTTGGCAGCTCCCCCCAAGCAGCTCCGCATGCTGGTCTCTCTCTCTCCTGTGCTCACTCAGGCACAGCCCTCTGCTCCCCAAACTGTTGGCGGCTGCCTTTTGGGGTGCTGTGTCGCCTGGAGGGGGAGGGGCTGGACTGGGCTATCGAATGCCCCCCCGGAGTGAGATATGACCCCCTCCTCTCCTTGTGCTGCAAACCAGAATCCAAAGGGCTGGCAAGGGGGTGTGACGGGGGGGGGGGGCAGAAGGGGGGGGTGTGTGGCCAGGGCGCCTTTTGAAGGAGGGGGGTCTGCTTTGGGCTGCAGCATCTCGAGCATCTAAGGTAGTTGGCATCCAGTGGTGCTGAGTGTAGATCAAAGCTGGGCAAGAAGGAAGCGCTTTGGACCTCCGATGCTTCTCTGCTCCTCGGAGGGAAGGAAGGGAGGGAGGGAGGCTGCTCTAAGGGAGAGCAGGGAGGCGCAGAAGTAGCTTGGCCCCCAAAGCGCTTCTGGCAGGTGCGCAGCCCTGAGGGTGCAGTTCCTCAGCATTGCCCATTTCCCCCTGGTGGGAAATGCCAGGGCTGCTCCACTGAGGACCCCCTAAACAACGCAAAGCAGGCGTATACTTCGTTGACCTAACTGTCTGCCAGCCTCCGCGGGTGGCCTAGTGTCTCTTTAATAATTTATTAAGTTAATCTATTAAATTTATATGCTGCCCAACTGGGAGTGTCTGGGGGTCCCTCTCGGGAGTCCCTCTCGGGGGGGCCTTTCGGCTTCGTTGGCATTCGCAGCCTGAGCCTTGGAGCTACAGGCCTCGCTTTCACCAGCAAAAGCTGCTCTCGCACTCAGAGCCCCGCCGTGGGAACATGAGCCAGCAGCAGGCATGGCGGAAGAGCGGCCCCTTTGGCCACCCCCAACCCGGAGTGCTGGCAGAAGACTGGCTGGTCCTCAGACTCCGGCTTTGCCCCCACCCCCCACCCTCAGCTGCACCCCACATCGTGTCACATTCACACCAAGCTACAGTGTTCGGGGAGGGGGGAGGGACAAAATATCTGTGAGTCAGAAGAAAATTCGGTAGACCGACAGGTGCTCCTTGCTTCGATGTCCCAAGCAGGAACGGGAGGAGGCTGGTGTCTTCCTCGGAGACGCCCGGTGAAGTTGGGTGCTGTTTGGGGAGGTGGTGGACTCGTCCAGAGCCTCCTGGGCAGTGGGGAGGTGCTCAGAACTGGGAGGCACTGCTGGGATCGCACTGCAGCAGCCTCACGATGGAGGGGTCGCTCTTGGCGCCTTTGATGAACTCCTCCAGGGACAGTTTGCCTGGAAAGGAGAAGGATGGGGGGGTCAGGCACAGCAGAAGTTGGGATGCCCAGCCCCAGGTGGGGCAGAGTGGCAGAATCCCCAGGAGGGACCCTGAGGGGCCCTGTGTCAACTCATAAAATATCTCTATGGTCTTTTTAGAGTTGCCAGCAGAAAGGGAGGGGGGAGCAGTGCAGCTGCTTGCAAACCGAAAGTGCATTCCATAAATGTTTTCAAAGTAGTAACTAGGTGACTGAAGTTTCTGCTGTGCAAAATTCTAACTGCAGAGCATGATTGATGACTCTTGGCTATGGATGTGTCCCATTGGAGAATATACACACGGGGTGGGGGGAAACCAGGGTCAAGGGGGACAATTGATTTATGTGTCTCAGAGTCGGCTACTCCCCAGGCAATGCCAGACATGTTAACTCCCAATAAATCCTTTTTAAGTTTTGGAAGTTTGGCTCGAGACTCATGATTTAATTGGGGGTAACTGCCAGAGCCCTGACACCCTGGCCTCTTCCCTGAGAGTTTTGTACTGCCCAACACCCTGTCCTGGCAGCTTGTGGGCTTGTAGGACGTCCATTCTCATCTGAAGTTCCCAGGCATCCTTGTGTCAAGTTCATCTACCTGCGCCCCCCCTTGTTTTTGGATAAAGGGTTGGATAAAGTGAAGGTATATGTCGTGGTTTTAGAAAAACACCAGCAGGACTTCCGGTTTGAGCCTCTTCGCGGACAGACCAAAACCGCGATCGTGCGCAGTTTCGATCCGTGCTCGCTGCTGGAGCGCCCCGAGCTGGCTGGTTTCAGGGCTAAGCCACCCCGTAGAGGTGGTGAAGAGGGGGGAGACTGCCAGCAGGGTTGAGGAGAGCCGTATCTCTCCTCCTCAGCTGGCCATTACTCCCTTTCCCGAAGGCGGTTGCAGCGGTGGTCAGAAATGGCCACCTCAAAGAAGAACTCGACCGGAAAAGAATGTGCAGAAGGAAGATAAGAAGAGAAAGTTTTGGATGACCGGGTTAAACTGCAAAAGCAACAACTAAGGTACCCTGGAATTTAAACTAAAAAAAAGTAACATTGTTCCCAAAGAAGATTTTGAAGCAGCAAAGGAGAGAGAAAAGGGAAAGGATTTGGTTTTTCTTCTTCTCTCCTTTTCCCTATACTGATAGATAAGAGATCTAAATAAGAAATTGGAAAAAAAATCCACTTTGACATCAATAGGCATTTAAGCTGAAAATAAAATGTCAAAGGGATAATAAAGATTTCTGGATAATTAAAACCTTTTAAAAGCAGGAAAGGAGAGAAAAAGAATAAAAGGGCAGGATCTGGAAAAAAGGGAGGAGACTGCCTGGAATTAAAAAGGAATTTACAGTAAAACCTCAACAAGACTTCTAAAAGATACATTTTAACTGAAACTTGGCTACAAAATAGTAGAACCCCAGGAAGAGAAAGTGGAAAAAAGAAGCATGAAGAAACAGCTTGGGAGTATTTGGACTATTTGGTGATCTCTGGATTTTTAGTTATTGCATTTGAATGACTAAAATCAATTGGGTGGTTGTTTAAAAGTGTTTTAAAATGGCACTACTTTGAGATGAACTGAAAATGGAACTTAAAAAGTACAAAGAAGATGCACAAGAAGGGAAAGGTTCTTTAGGCGTATTTCAATTCTTAGAAATGGAGATCTCGAACTATGAGAAACAACAAGAAATGCCTGCAGAACAAGACTGGGACAAAGAAGAAGCTATCTTTAATGAACAAGTAATTTTATGTGGGGGGAAAAAAGGAAAGGGGGGAAAGAGAATGAAAAGTTTAAGATTTGAAAAAACAACCAAGAAAAGGAATAATGACTTGAAAAATAAGTATAATATTAGAAAGCAACAGAAGAGAGGAATACAGAAGAGAGAATTAGAACTAGAGAGACAAAGGGGAGGGAGAAGAAGAGAGGAAAGAAGGAAAAGAAGTTATAAAGGACAGAAACAAGATATGGAGAAACAGGGCCAATTTAGAGATAATGGGTGAAAATTTAATTGAAAAAGGGATTCTGAAAAGGTACATAAGATTGTATTGTTATATTAGAAATAGAAATAATTTTAGAAAATATGAAACAATGTATGATTAAAATGAGGGATAAAATAGTTATTGTAATCTAGTGAAATGTTTGTTAATAAATAATGAAATAAAATGAATGAGAGAATTGAATTAGGAAAGGATGGGAACATTTTAATTATTTAATGTTTTATAAAATATAAGGGAAGAGAAATAGGGGAAAAAATTAATTATGGAAAGCTTATAAGTGTTCCCAAGGAAGTATGATATTTAATTGAAAAGTAATGTTAAAGATGTTAAGACTTTAATGAATATTAATGATGGAATTGAATTGGAATGGAATGAGTGTTTTAATTACATATATTTATAATCACTTTTTAATATTATAGTGTGTATTTTAAGAATGTACCAAGCAGAATTTGATTGGAAGTTATGTATTATATTGAATGTTATAACCTCAAGGTATATATTGAAGCTTAAATAAGAGTAGAATGGATAAAATTAAAAGATATAAAGGTGTCATACTCCAATTAGTAACTACAGGAGAAAATTTGTTTAATGAGAAAAGAAAATATGAAATTGAAACAGGACAGACAAAAGTATAAATATAATGATTGGAATTGATAAGAGATAATTAAAATAAAATTGAGAAAATTAAGAGAGGATAAAAACTATGTAGAAAATGTAAAACAGTAATAAGATATGGAATAGAACATAAAAGTGAGCATGAAATTGAGTTTGTGTCTGTATGAAGAAGTGTAACCTGGGACCATGCTATTTTCAAAAAAAAGATGTTTTATTTGTATTATGTTTTTTTTTTGTGTGAAAACCCAAATAAAATTTTCAAAAAAAAAAGAAAGAAAAGAAAAACACCAGCAGATCTAACATGGGCTTTCCCCGCCTTCTCATGTGTCAAGTGAGGTTTTCATGTCAAACGAAATAGATCGATGTTTCGTTTTCCACAGTTACCCACCTCGCCCTCTAAGACTGGCCTTGGCTCTTCCCGACACAAACTAAGATTTTGTGTATGGGAGAGATCCCACCCTCAGCCTCTGGGGAAGGTGGATGCTTAGGGAGCCCCCCAGGTGCAGGGAAGGTTGTTCAAGGGGAAGTCAAGGCAGGGCTGCAGCTGCAGGTCCCAGCTGCCAAGCGCCTGGCAGGCGGCCACACGACCGCGGGAAGGGGCCTGGCTGGCAGAACTTTGGAACCAGGTCAGAAGTACCGTTGGGGAGTGCAACTTTGAATGGTTGCTAGGCAACCGCCGTTAGTCAAGGACTACCTGCTGTACCAGTGTTCCTCAACCATGGCAACTGGAACACGAGGAGGGGCTGCGATGATTCAGTTCCACAATTCCACCCCTGTGACTCCTTTGCCCCACCGGTGGCCCCCAACTGCATGGCTTTCTGAAGTGAGGGGGCCAAGGGTGGGGGGCATCCTGGGCAGGGGGCAGCTGGTCCGGCACTGGGAGCCTGCCAACATTCACCTGGGGTGGCCTGTCTGGGAAAAGGAGTGAGTTTCGTGGGATGAAACCTGTTATTAGCCAAGGCCAGAAGTGAAGATCAGCCCCTTTGAAGGAGGGTCAAAGCTTTGAGTAAGTATCCAAAAGGTGAAAAGTGCTGATCAAGTTGCACCAACTTTGGTGGCTGAGAGTGGAGCCGATTTGCACCCCAGAAAAATTGTCCCTTCATTTCAACCAATGGGATATTTGGTGGGAATGACTCCGACAGGGGGGTCCCAATCCCTAGGCTGCAGCCCACTACCGGCCCATGGTCTGTTTGAAACTGGCAGTGGGAGAGACGGGTAAGTGTGTGTGTGTGTGTGTGTGAAGCTCCACTCGTGTGTGTGTGGGGGGGTGCTTGCGCTCACGGGCACAGCTTCCCCCAGGCGGAACTTTGTGCTCAAGCACCCTCTGCTCGCACAACTTGAGCTTCGCACACGAGTGCAAGCCCCTGCCGCTCGCTGAGTGGGGCTCTGCGTGTGAACACAAACCACTCTCCGCTTGCGCACAAAGCTCCATTTGCACAAGTGGGGGGCGTGCATGCCCACTGGTCAAAGAAACAGCCGTGTGTGCCACATGTGCCTGCCACTCACACATCCCCGTGCCGGGCTGGGCGGCCAGGCTGCTCCAATATATTCAGCAGCCATGAGTCACGTTGGGATTTTGTGTCGCTGGAGAACGGCCTTCCCTGGCTGGGGGGTTCTGGGGGTTGGAGCCCCCCCACCTCCAAGCTGCCGAGGTCAAGAAAGTCCCGGAAGTCCCCACCTTACGATCCCAATTGGGGGGACCGGAAGTTCCACGGCTAAGCAAGAAGTGGGTGGTGCCAGCTTTTACCTTTCCTGGTACATTTGATAAACGAACCTCTGCCCCTGTTAAGTGGTCATTAAGTGAAGCTGGCTTCTCCTGCTGACCTTGCCTGTCGGAAGCCAGCTGAGAAGGATCCTGCAGCCGCCGCAAGTGCATGCCCATTGCCCCGGGTCAGAGTTTGAATCCTGGCGCCATGGGGATGCTGAAGGTCATCAGGGCGAGGCCCACTCGTCAGTCCCTGCCCTCCGATACTGCTGTAACCCTGAACAGCCGCTGAACGAATGGCTGTAAGGGGAGGATTACCCGCCCTGCCCAAGGCGTCCTTCTCTGCGTCAGTTCCTTGAGGCCTGTTCCTGCTTTGAAGCCGCTCTTTTGGCACGCAGAAGGGGGGGGCTGCTTTCGGTGTGTGCACCAGGCCCCCCCCATAC